GTCAATCCATAATGTACCGACAGCCTCTTATCTGAGGTCCGTGTTTGCCGGTGCGTCATACTCCCATGTTCGCACTCACTTTTCACAACACTGCGTTTGCACTTACCTCGACCCATATCTCCCCACAACAAACTCACCCACGACTTGCGATATGTCTGTATATTATATTTAATTGAGCGATATTTCATCACAACACGACTCCGAATGGCCTAATAATCCCTGGATGCGTCTCCTGGGTTGACCTTGAGAATACCGTTGATAACAGCCATTTCGGTGAGTGAGTTCGATCCTCATAGTGTACCTTATTTTTGCTCTTTTTTGCTCACATTGATGTCTTTCACTCGCCTTTACTCAGACTTGAAGGTGGCGTCATTTTTGCTCTTACTCGATTTAGTACTAGTGCGTGAGTATACGTTGATTGTAGTCGCAGTGAGTGTGGAAATTTGGCGCAAAGAGGAAGTGAATGTGAGCGTGAAGGGGAATTCTCTACTCTCCTTCACTGCGAGAGTTTTACGCACTGGAGCCTAGCCATATAAAACTTTCTTCTGTTCGTAATTCTGCTTCCTCTAACCACCCACGTACAATCAAGCTATCATCACTTCAAAGCTTTTTTTGTATATATCATGTCTACATTCTCTGATCTCACCCGCACCGAGAAGCGCGACATGATTCGCGGCGAGCCCTTCGACGGTCCGCAAGTCACCATCGCACCCAGGAGCGTACGTGACCTCCTCGACACGCTCGACAGCATCCCCAACAACAAGTTGGGCACTACACACCCCGCGGCCTCCTCTCTCGGCCTCATCGAAGAGAACTGGGGCGTCGACATGACCTCCTTCCCCCCTCCGCCTCCCATGTACGGTGGACGTACATTCCGTCCGGCCGGTGACGCGGCGACTTGGGACTTGCGCCTGTTGGCCACTCTGGCAGTCTTGTCGGAGTTTACGCACGGCCAGGGCGACTACATGGGCAGCCAGATCAATTCGGCGGTAGAATTGAGGAACATCAACAAGAGGTTCAAGAAGGACCTTGACTTGGTGACTACGGTCGATGTGGTGAGGGTGATTCGCGATCTGCTGCATCCTCTTGAGGTAAGTCATTTTTTCTTTTCAAGATAATTCAATTGCAAACTACAAATGCTAACGATATATAGATGAACGAAGAAGATGTCTTGGCGACAAGGAAGCGCAAGAACGAGTACAACGGCCGTCGCAAGTCCGAGCGGGACAACACCAAGGCCACCGAGCTGGCCATAGACACCGACATGCCGGTTGGGGGTGAGGCGATGGAGAGGGTTGAGAAGAAGTTGAGGAAGACAAGGCTTCCTGACAAGGTCGAGTCTGACTCCGAGGAGGAGATGTTGGCTCCTGGGGAGCGGATGGAGTAGATAGTTGCGGCGGGGTGAGTCGTTGTCGTCGTCTCGCACCCTGATGATGTTGGACTTCGCGGTGTGAAAGGACAGCCGGGCAGATACCAATACAGTCCAGTACCACCATGAGTCGATTATCCTAGTCGAATGTCGACCTCTTCCGTGTCTGCAGCATCCCATTCATCCTTCCACACGTGTCCTATAGCTTTCCGGTATGCAATTCCGTCTTCCCACTCGATCCAGAGGACATTGTAAGCCATGAACTGCCATTTGGAAGCTGGTGTATAGATCTTTGAAACGAAGTGATTCCTGTCTGGAAAACACTCCGGAGGACAGGTCATCTGAAATACCTTTCCTCGGTTAAGATCACGCAGCCGAGCATGTTCAATACATACAGGCCTACTCATGCTGATGCAGATGATTTCGACCTCGTGTTGAGGTAAGTGAAGATCGTTTAGTGTGATGTCGATATCTAGAACACCGATCGTTTGACCTTGGGGACCTGTCAGAATAGGCGTATCTTTGTTTAGATCCTCGCGACCGTGCTTAGACAGAGAAGTAATCAGTCGCCGAGTCCTGAATTCCAGAACAGTAGAAGGAACATATTCAGCTGTCAGGCTTTGTGCGTCATCTTCTTGAACCACTGGGTGCTTATCAAATATTTTGATAGGTAAATCGGAGGACCAGCATTCATCCTCTACCAAACTAATCAACCCGTGGGTTTCATAGTAGTGTAGGTCCTTGATATGTTCCTTGCGCTCGCCGTCCGTTCCGATTATAGTTTTGGAAAAGTAAACAAGTTGTGGATATTCAAGAGAGGAACAGTGTAGTCTCCTTATCGCCAGCCGGCACGCTTGTTCGGCAGAACGCATGTTGACAGGTCCAGACCAACCCACCCACGACCAGGAAGGGAAAGCTTTCAAGACATTGCCTTGACGATCTATCCGTCTTTGATGACGACGTTCTTTAATAATATAAGAGAGAGAATATGCGCCATGGTGCCAGCAAAGCATGTGGGGTAGGAAGAGTTCTGGTATACCAAATATGAAACTGCTTTTCATAGCTCGCCCTTGCACAGTGGTGAATGCGTTGAATGCAGCCAGGACATCTTCGGAATAAGTTAACGTCCGTTTGCTGTAGGTTTTAACAGCACTACAGTACCCCATGAAACCAGGATATGCATCCCAATCCTCGCTTGATAGACTTGTGGGATCCACGGGGTGATGCCACATGCTTTCCGATTCTGCGAAGTTTTTGCAAGTCCAAGACACAAATTGATCATGAAAAATGATCATGCGACGCGAGAATGTCCATTCTTGAAAAGTCCAGCCGCGTGTATGATAAATCGAATCCTTTGCTCTGCTCATACACACTATCATCTGGCAGCTGGGACTAAACTGGTAAATTTCAAAGGGTGGTATCCTTGGTCGTTCTTTGTTGAATCCAGGTATCCCGTAGTCACTATCATCTCCCTCTGTAGCAGCTATAGTAACGTATGCATTTGAGTATATAGATGCCATGGAGGCCAGTTGATGAGGTTTCGTAATTTCATCATCCTGTATGATAGAGAATCTGTCCACCCATAGGTAGCGAAGGCCAAGAGCGCGTATGAAGGTTATGCTGTCTGCAACAGTGTTGGGGAGCCGAGTGCGGTTACAAGGAAGGTCTAATGCATATTCCTTGCTCAAAGCTTCGACATTGGCTTTAACTGTCTGGAAAGGATCGACAGCCGTCCCCCAAATATAGCTCAAGGCGGCATATCGATATCCGCCGTCATGCTCTGATTGCTTCACGAGGCAGAGTTTCTCGACGTCTATAAAGCGTAGATCTGAGGCGTCTGGCATCTTCTTCATTGGGTTCGTGATTGTATGGCATATGCCCGCGTGGTCCGTGTCGCAATGACTGATCCACTTCTTGATACCCTCGATGTCGAATTTCTGGTCGAAAAGGGAAGGGTTGAACGCGCTTGGAATTGCATCAATCTCCAGGGAACAGTAGTCAGGTAATATCTCCTCGCCTTGGACACTCTCTCCACTGACCCTCAGTCTATAGTCGTCATCATTCTCAGAATACAGAACAGAGCCGGTCCATTCCCCTACACAATCGGCTCGTGTATGAATTCCGAACCTTCGCGCTAGTTTTTGGCATGTAACGCACCCAACGTTCTGCTGGACATCGCGATATTTCCACACGTACTCTCCAGGATCCGGTGTCTTCTTCTCTATCGCGTCTGCGACTGATTTGCAAAGTGCACACTGCACCATATCTCGATAGCGTGACAGATTTGTGCGATCTGGAGGGCGACCACGTGTATGAGACTCTTCGTGCAGATAATAAAGCCACCAGCCACTGTAGACCAATGCGGGGCTAGGACCCCTTAGACATACGGACGATGCTGAGTTGGAAGGGTATCAGTCGTCCGGTAATGTTTATAGATGTAACTCGAATGTAAGTCAGATGCAAGCTTGAGGTTTTGTTGAGCAGAATGCAGGTGGGTTTCTGCGCAGAAGTGTGAGAAGGCAGCTGCCACCTCATGCGCAGCCTCATGACATCATGCATGCTTATCTGCATATTCAGGCTTGTGTGTGTACCGATCAACGAAATGGGAGGCGCGTTTCCAGTGAGTGGCTTGTCAAAAAGAACATATGGGAAACATCAGAATAGGAGAACGGCATACGCGGTCATTGGGCGAGCAGTGACTAGATGGTGGTTGACAAACTTCGCGCTAGCAGGGCATCGCGATCGCCGGACCCGTGGACGCATCTGCACCCCAGATTCAGAGCCCACTTCTTTCATCAGGAATAACGGGGCATCAGTTCAATCCGATTTCAGCTACAGCAATGCTACCCTTTCAAAATTGTACTGATTCGAGCGCGAATTCACCGAACAAACCTACAATCCCATGAAGATCCCCATCCACCGGAAATAACGCCCCCAGCCTTGACAGACGTCATGCCTAGCGCAAAACAGTCACGTCCCAAGCTCCTGGCGCGGGCACCCTCCCCCTAAGCCGGGAGATCTGACTAGTAGAAATGAGGGGAAGTACGAGATCGGCTTCCTATGGCGTTGGCATCACGATGGGGATTGTGCTGTGACGTCTTCTAGCATACGGGGTATACGGAGCCGAGGGCATGCGACGAGACATGCTTAAGCAGTCGCCTTTCGCTGAGTAGGGTATTTCTGTGCGTCTGCTAGTACTCTTCTCACGCTGGTACTGGTGTTGAGGCTCACCAGGCTTTGTATTAGACTGTCCCTCATTCTTCGTTTAGTGTTGCTTTGACGTGTGTTCAACATGACTGCCCAAGGACCCATGGCCCCAGGGCCGTCGATTACACGGGACTGGGCGGACGACCGTTCAGATGATCGTCTGCACAGCGTTACGTCTGGTACGAGTGCTACACCTCTGACCCAGGCGCAAACACAGCATTCGGCGCATTCTACCAATTCTGAACTCTCGGCCCATCGAACGTCGTCGAGCGCTCAACGGAAGCGATCGGTACTTGGCTTGCATCCTCAAGCACCCATCGACGAAGAGCATGACCACGGTGCGGCATCGGAGTTGCTGTGGTCGCGTATAAGGACGGTGATGAGGGAGCCGTTCGCGGAGTTCTGGGGCACCGCTATAATGGTTATGTTCGGTGATGGAGCGGTTGCGCAAGTCTTGCTTTCGACGGGACAGACGACTGCGCCGGGTGGTAACGGGTTCGGACAATATCAGTCGATTAACTGGGGGTGAGTCGAGCGCTGAGAGATTGAAAGATTGTGAGGCATGCTAACACCGATAAGCTGGGGCCTAGGCGTGATGCTCGGACTGTACGTAGCAGGGGACTCTGGCGCATACCTAAACCCGGCGATTACTCTCAGCAACTGCATCTTCCGTCAGTTGCCCTGGCGGCGGTTCCCCATGTACTTCGCTGCGCAGATGCTTGGTGGGTTCGTTGGGTCTGGGATCGTATACGCGAACTACATCAGCTCTATCGACTGGTTCGAGGGCGGGAAGATGCGAACAGTGCCTCCAGCTGAGAAGGCTACAGCAAACATCTTCTGCACTTACCCGCAGCCATTCCTAACCAAGACCAGCCAGTTCTTCTCTGAGTTCATCGCAAGTACACTGTTGATGTTCGTTATCTTCGCGTTGAAGGATCCGAGCAATAATGGTGTTCCGAAGGTATGGCCGATAAGAGTAATCGATGGGATGATGCTGACTTTATTCTAGTCTGACAAATGGTTCCCTCTTTGCCTGTTCTTCCTCATCTTCGGCCTAGGGTCTTGCTTCGGCTGGCAGACTGGTTATGCGATCAATATCGCTCGTGACTTCAGCCCAAGGTTGATGTCGTATGCTGTTGGGTATGGTCCTGAGGTGTGGTCTGCTGGCGGATACTACTTCTGGGTATGTCTTCTAACAACCCTCACGTTTCTTTCTGACAGCATCTAGATCCCAATGGTAGCACCGTTCCTTGGCTGCGCGTTTGGAGGTTTCCTGTATGACATCTTCATCTACACGGGTCCCAGTCCCATTAACTCGCCATGGCTCGGCTTGAAGCAGCTCACTCCGGGTAATGCGATGCGAGCGAGGAGAGAGCATATAAGGAGAGAGAAAGAAGAGGGGATTGTGTAACAGTCTGTTCTTTGCATCCGACCATGAGGCCTGGCAAGGTAGATATTCATGAACAGAAACGCAAGCTCTGAAACAGCCGAGTTCTCTTTGTTGAGGTATTCTTTGTTCCTGATGTATATAGACAGGTGGCTATAAGCCGAAACGAATGGCATCTCTTCTGTTCAACAAGAGCGGAGACGTTTGCGAGTACGCGTGGAAAGAGCCTTCAGTGTTGCTTAGTCATTCACGCGTGTCGGTGTTGTCTGACGCCATTGTGCCCCGCTGATGCCCGCAAGCCGCTGTCAGGCGCCGCATACCAAACTTTGACTCACTCGCAACTACACATCGAAATACTCGCGCATCACGTCCATCCACTTCGGAAACAAACACGAGCTCGCATACCTCACAACACAATGGCGAAAAAGGGCGCGGCCGGCGGCGATGGAGGGGGTTCGAAGAAGGCACAAGGACAAGCCCGCAAGGCAGACGCCGCTGCATCGAAGCAGGCTGCAAAGAACCAACAAGCTGAGAAGGCAGAGGCAGAGGAATGGAACAAGGGCGCAAAGTCAAATGCAAAGGCGTATGTGCATCTTCGCCCCTACTTACGCAGTAGCTAACATAACATAGCGAGGCCGCAGCAGAAAAGGCCGCTGAAGCAGCCCGTAAGAAGGCTGAGAAGGAAGCCCTGCTCCGCGAAGAGGAGGCTTCCCTGCCTTCCAAGCCCAAGGGCAAGAACCCCAAAGCAGAGAAGAAGCCCCGCGGGGGCGGCATCGACTCAGCGCTTGGCTCCTTCGACGCGAAGCCTGGCGCGCTCAACGCCACCGGTATCGACAACGCCCTCGACGCTCTGGATATCACGGGCAACAGCCAGGACAAGGTGGACCGCCATCCCGAGAGGCGCTTCAAGGCTGCATACGCTGCGTTTGAGGAGCGAAGACTAGACGAGATGAAGGACGAGAAGGGTCTGCGACGACAACAGAAGATCGACCAAATCCGCAAGGAATTCGAGAAGCACCCCGAAAACCCGTTCAACCAAGTCAACGCATCGTACAACATGACCAGAGAGGAGATCGCCGCACTGCGCGAATCAGAGAAGGAGAAGAAGGAGAAGAGGCTTGTGGGGGTCAACTGAGTGGCTGTGTTACTTTCGCGTACTATTCATATATGGGGGCGTTCTGGGTAGACCTGGGACGAGACGCCTCAGCGCATGATCGCAGACGGGCCGAGGCATGAGTTGGGGGATTTTGATTAAACTCCGCCTCATGAACGAGCCATGGGTCCGTAAGCTGACTTTCATTATTCAACACTCTTTCTTGTTGCATATGGTTGTGATGATCCCCGCGCTCTTAGCACGACGACGGCCCCGGTCGCCCCTCATTCGTGCAGGTAGTGTACCTCTAGCTGATGATCTACAGTAAGTAAGAGATGGTCATGCAGTCGGTCCTGGTGTTGGTCGGGAGAGCACTGCGACACGCGACGATCTTTTCTTAGCAGCCAAACAATAGCAAAGTAACAGCACGTCGGCACGACCAGTGAACACAAGGGATTCGAGGAGGCCAGATAATGAAGGACAAGCCGCCCGGACAACATGCTGTGGCGCCAAAATGATCGGAGGCCCAAAAGCAGCGCAGCCCGCCGACCTGAAACATGCGTACTAGTTAGCCATTGGACAACACCAAATCCGTTCCTGCGTTTCGAAACGCCCGCTTACCCAATCCCTGCTGCACCCGCGCGCTCCTTCCCCGGCTGCCTTCACCAAAAGAAATATGGGTCTGCGCGAGTTAGATCTTAGATAAGCCCTACTCCCGGCATTCACCATGCGTGCTTTGCTCTCCCTCACATTCTGCAGCCTCGGAGCTATACATTCGTTCTTTTCTTCCCTTTCTCTCTTCCGACTGCTTGTCGTTACCTTCTTTTGAACTCTACTCATTCGTTTCTCAACCAATATGAAGTACTTTACCACTACTGGAGCAGTGCTCCTCAGTGCTCTTACAGCGACCGCCGGCGGTATCAAGTTCGACCCCGAGGATGAAGGTGAGGATATTCACAGCAACCGCGCTACAAAGCTAACCTTCAGAAGCGTCAATCCTCGCCGTCACTCGACAGTATGCGTACGGCCTGATGTCGATGTACCAGGGCAACGCCACAGGCACATCCATCGAGGGTGTCGGAGTCTGGCCCAAGCCCCACTACTGGTGGGAGGGTGGCGCCGCGTGGGGTGGCATGATCGAGTACAGCCAGTTCACCGGCGACGACTCACACGTCAAGACGCTCCAACAGGCATTGACTGCCAACTACGGCCCCGACAACGACTTCATCCTCTCCTACCGCAAAGGAGAAACTGGCAACGATGACCAGGCTTTCTGGGCGCTTGCCGTCATGAGCGCGGTCGAATACCAGTTCCCCGATCCCGCCGATGCGCCTGCGAGCTACCTCGAGGTCGTAACCAACGCTTTCGAGAACATTGTCGGACGCTGGGACGAGACAAGCTGCGGTGGAGGACTGAAGTGGCAGGTGTACCCAGAGAACAGCTACGGCTACAACTACAAGAACTCAATCTCCAACGGCTGCGCTTTCGCCCTCGGTGCGCGCCTTGCTCGCTACACTGGCGAGCAGAAGTACGCGGACTGGGCTGTCAAGATCTACGACTGGACAAAGAAGGTTGGACTCATCAGCGACCAGTACGAGGTATTCGATGGTACAGACGACAAGACCAACTGCGCCACAGTCGCCGACAAGACCCAGTGGTCCTACAACAACGCCATGTATCTCCATGGATCGGCCTTCATGTACGACTACACCAACGGCGAGAGCACCTGGAAGGATCGCACTTCCGGCTTCCTGGATCACGCTGAACTGCTGTTCTTCAGCCCTTACGAGAACGCCACAGACATCATGTACGAGTGGGCTTGTGAGACGGGTGAGTCTGGCCGACACTGCAACCTCGATCAGCAATCATTCAAGGCATACCTTTCTCGCTTCATTGCTAAGACTGCCATGGTCGCTCCCTTTACTAAGGACAAGATCGTGCCGTTGCTGAAGGCTTCTGCGGTCGGTGCTGCCAAGGCCTGCTCTGGAGGCACTGACGGCGTCACATGCGGCAGCAAGTGGTACACTGGAAGCTGGGACGGCACCTCTGGCGTCGGCCAGCAGCTGTCGGCCTTGGAAGTCACCCAGGCACTCTTGATGATCGAAAAGGGTACCCTGCCTGCAAAGGGCAACAGCGCGCCGAAGCCATCAAGCAGCCCTTCCCCCAAGCCTAGCTCTACGCCAGCGCTATCATCTGCTCCTGCAACAAGCGACGCCGTTTCCTCATCTACCTCTGTGTCTAGCCAAGTTCCAGCTGCCAGCGAAGCTACTCCGTCCTCAAGCGCTACCAGCGAGACCCCTGCACCCAGCAAGGCCCCATCCAACGAGGCGCCTTCTAACGACAACCACAACCTGGTTCCCAAGTTCCCTGAGGCTGATGAGGCCCCTGTTTCGACACAGGTTGTCTCTTCGGTCGTCGTAGTAACAAGCACATCGGTCTCGAGCTCCCAGCCCTCGGCCTCAGGCAAGCCTGCTAGTCAGTCCAACGGAGGCTCATCCAGCAGCTGCGCCCGCAGCGTAACTCGCACTGTGACTCTCGCTCGCTCCTCCGCTACAACTAGCTGCACCCCCAGCGTGACCGAGACTGTGTACGTACCGGCAGCATCGGCGACTACGGGTCTCGTGGTAGACTCTTCGCCAGCTCCGGTTGTACCTCCTGTTACTACCACGTTGATGTCGGCGCCAGCTGCTAATACCAGCTTGCCCAACCCGACATCTCCAGAGCAGTTCCTCGGCGCTGGCTCTGCCCTCACCGCCAGCACCTCTGTTGTCGCCCTTTTGGTGGCAGCGATGGTCTTTGCTATGGTGTAAGCCTTAATCTGCACATTGCATCTTGTCTTCATCTTCTTTACTGTACATATATACCCTTCTTGCTTTATAGACCATATTCCCGGGCCGCTTGACGGCACCCTCTGATAGATCAGAATGTATAATGGTCCTTTCATCTGAACTATCTATTCGTGCGAATTTGATCATGGCTTCTACATCAATATGAAGATTCAATAGCTGTGAAAGTTGCCAAACTTCATCGGTGTGGCGTGTCCTCAGCTGTCACTTGGTGGAGCGGGCTCAGCTGGCTCCTACCCCACTAGAAAAGGGCCGCCAACAATTAATGTGCGATGACATAGCAACCATCCCACTTCCCCGGCCCTATCTGCAACCCTCCACATATCCGAGCTCAACAACGAAAATAGCGCTGCGGATATGCGCTGCTGAAAGCCTGATTTCCTCACCAGAGCCAGCGCTCGTCGGGTATCGGCTATCCAGGTCCGCGCAGACTCGGAACTTCCATTTACTGTGGCCTGATGTTCTTCTTCTGCACGCGACCTACGTAGAGAAAGTGCTAGAACGTGAAGGTGCGTGACAACATGTCTGAGTCTGCGCTCTGATGCTAACGAGGGATAATACTGTAGCTTCCAACGCAGCTTCATCGTCAGCGACCCTGTTCCGCCGTGCGCGCATCTCGTGCTTCGTCACCCCTCGTTTTCTGTCGCATTCGCCATCGCGTCCGTGGACGGATACACACCACCGGCCATAGGAGGCTACACCAACCTTGCCCTTTCGGCGGCGCATAGCATATTCTTCATACTCGTCGGCAGCATACTCGTGGTTTAGGTAGCCGCCATGGCGACCCAGAAGAGAGACGCGAAGGGCAAGAAGCTCGCCGTCATGAACAAATACGTCTACGATGCCTTCTTGTGGACGTTTTCAATCTTGGTGGAGCTCTTCTTCCGAGAAGTGCATCCTAGGAGTAGTTGGAAGGTGCCAAAGGAAGGCCCCGTTATCTTCGTGTGCGCACCGCACGCGAACCAGGTAGGACATGCTGCGACGATACCCCGTCAGGATGTATGCTGACAGATGGCAGTTTGTCGACCCCCTCATGTTGATGAGAGTCGTAAAGAAAGAATCCGACCGCCGAATCCAATTCCTAATCGCCGATAAATCGATGAAGCGCAAGTTTGTAGGCGCAATGGCTGGCTTGACGGGTGTCGTGCCTGTAGGAAGAGCCATGGACATGACCAAGCCTGCAGAGGGCAAGATATACCTCCCCGATCCCATCAACGACCCGACGCTAGTTCGGGGTGTGGGCACCAACTTTGAAGATAAGAAATTCCAGGTCGGCGGCTCCCTCGTACTGCCTAAAGTGGACAACAAGGCGGCGACCGCTGAGATACTCGAGATCAAGGGCCCGGAAGAAATCAGGCTGAAGCGTGGCTTCAAAGGAGGTGTTGCCATGCAGCAGATGACTGGGCGAAACGACATGACCAAGGACGGCACATTCGTGGACGGAGCCAATGCGAAGAAGGGTATCGCTGATGGTTACGAGGGAACTCCCTTCCAGGTTGCGCCCAAGCTCGATCAGACAGAAGTTTACGACGCGGTACATGCTGTTCTTCACCACGGTGGAAGCATCGGTATCTTCCCTGAGGGTGGTAGCCACGACCGAACTGATCTTCTCCCTCTGAAAGGTGAGTTATCCCACCGCTTAAAATTTCCATGTACTAACATTTCCCAGCTGGTGTTGCTATTATGGCGCTCGGTACAGTGCAAACAAAGCCAGACTGCAATCTGAACATTATCCCCGTCGGTATGAACTACTTCCACGCCCACAAGTTCCGATCAAGGGCCGTCATCGAGTTTGGCACGCCCATCCACGTCCCACCTGAGCTAGCCCAGAAGTTCGACGGCCCTGGAAGACGTGAGGCCATCGGTGAGATGCTGGAAACCATTCGTCAGGGTCTTATCTCCGTCACGGTCACAACACCCGACTACGACACACTTATGGTATGTGCAAGACACACCCATACTCTTTCTCATTGCTGACCCTTCTAGGTCATCCAAGCTGTGCGCCGCCTCTACAACTCCAAAGGCACGAAGCTCCCTCTTCCCAGGATCGTGGAGCTTAATCGCCGGCTCGTCCAGGGTTACGAACGCTACAAAGACGACCCTCGCATCGTCGAACTCAAGAAGGAAGTCACCACCTACAATAGCAAGCTTAAGGCGCTCGGCCTCCGAGATCATCAGGTACAATACGCCAAGATGCATCCTATCACGGCGTTTGGGCTTTTCTTCTACCGTCTTGGAAAGCTGCTCTTCCTGAGCATGCTCGTCCTTCCCGGAACTCTGCTCTTCAGCTTGGTCTTCATTGTCACTAAGGTTGTCTCGATTAAGAAGGCCAGAGAGGCACTTGCTGCATCAAACGTCAAGGTTCAAGCCAGAGATGTCATGGCTACGTGGAAGCTTCTCGTTGCCATGGCTGCCGCACCAACAGCTTACGCCTGGTATGTCTGCTTGGGACTCTACTGGTACTCCTACAACCAATGCAACGGATACCTTCCTGCTGGCATTCAGAAGCGCTGGCTCATCATCCCCCAACTCGTCGTCTACGTCACCCTCACATACGGCGCTCTCCGATTCGGCGAAGTCGCCATGGACATCCTCAAGTCCCTCGGTCCCCTTTGGAAGATGATGAACCCCTTCTCCAACAACGAACTCGTCAAACTCCAAGAGCGCCGCGAGAATCTCGCTCAGCGCGTGAACGACATCATCAACGAACTCGGACCGGAGATGTACGAGGACTTCCACTCCAAACGCATCGTCGAGGATCCCTTCATCAAGCAAGAGCGTCCCAACACACCACCGCAAAAGTCGGACGAAGACGCGGAAAGAGAGGCAGGCCAGGACATCGAGACCTACGATTACCCTGCCTCGCCCGGATCTATCAACGAAATTCCGCGCAACGAATCGTTCCACGACCTTGCCAACCAGGACTTCTTCTCTAGTCGACCACAGACGCCGAAGAAGAGCCGCAGTAGAAATAGCAGCAGTGCGAACCTGGGCGGCTTCCAGCTCAAGCCTTTCAGTACCATTGATGGCAACTTGGACGAAGTCAAGAGGAGATTGACAGATGGTGTGAAGCAGCGGACGAAGAAAAGAAGGAGTAGCGGAGAAGGAAGCTGGGACGACGGCGAAGATGGCGAGGGCCTGACAATGGGAGGAAGGAAAGAGCGCTCGTATACCAAGTAGCTTTTGGTCGTGATGGTAGTTTGGATGAGCGGTGTGTCGGTTTTGCTTGTGCGTTAGTACTAAAGATACCACTTTCCTTTCTTCTCCTCAGCGGTTGAAATTGGATATGTTATGCATGAAATACGATTTGCTTGCTATGCTTGCTTGTAATGCTATGCTGTGTTGTGGTTGTGGTTGTGGTTGTGCTATGCTAAGTACTCTTGTAATATCATCGCTTGTACATCGTTCGCCCTGCCTACAAATATGCCTGAATCAATAGAAGAAAGAAGTTATGGATATCGCCATCCAAAAATGCCAAATCATGCAAAAGCGCTGTACCCCAAAATCCGAGCTTTCCCCCTGCAAAAGTGGTATCTTGCCTTTCCTTTCTTACCGAATCCAAATCATCGCCTTCCGCTTTCCAAATCAGTACGTGACACAAAGAAATCTCCCCACGGATGATACGATCAGCATCTACCCAACAACAGCCTTCTGACTCAACTTCTCCAAAAACCCACTGAGATCCTCCTTCTTAATCTCAATCACACACGCCTCGAAACTATCCATTCGTACTCGTGCTCCCGTCTCCCTCACAACCTCTTGGAACGCATTACCGAATCGATTCCTGCCGGACCCCCTCTCCTCATCCTCATCTTCACTATCCTCAGAGTCGTTATCTGAGGAATCAGATTCTTCGGCTTCAGACTCCGAGTCATCAGCAACCTCGTCTTCTTCAAGCCCTGCGGCTAGATTGCGCGCAACACGTGCTTTACGGCGGGACTCTCTCGCTTCAGCTTTCTGCGCTTGACGCGCCTCTTTAGCTTTGAGTTTAGCTTCGCGTTTCTGAAGGCGGGATTTAGCAGATTCAGTTGCGCCGCCGCCACCAAGGCCGACGACGACGTAGAGGCCGCGGGAGTCGTCGAGACCAGCCATGACAAGCTCACTGCCCTTGTTTTTGCCCTTTGTGCCATTGAGTTCGACGATGGCTTCGGCGATCCAGAGGGCGAGTTTGGTGAGGGCGCCCGGGTGGGTGAAGAGTTGGACGTCGGGGCCTTCTTTTACGACGGCCATGCGGAAGGCGCGCAGGTGGCGGATTTGCTTCTTTTCTATCAGGGCGGTTCCTGTGCGGAGGATAGCGCGGTGGAGGTGTTGTGCTGTGCTGATGTGCTCGACGAGGCGGTCGATGTCGCCGAGGGCGTCGTAGGCGGTCCAGAAGCGGCTGGTGATGTGTTCTTGGGCGAGGTCTTGTTGTTCTTGCGTGGAGGAGGGCATCTCGGTGTGGTCGTTGGCTCCGGCGAAGTTGGAGCTGTCGAGGGCGGATTGGTTGAGGTTCTTTGCGTCGCCGACTTCTAGGATGGCTCCTAGGATCACGCCGGCGTCGATGGCGGAGAGACATGCTTTCCAGCCCCAGCAGCGTACGAAACCCCATCCGTCTTTGGGGTCGCCTGTGCCTGACTTTGGTGGCACGAGGCCATCGAGACCGTATTGTGGAGCGAACTTGAGGAGGCGTTCTCGGAGACCACGCTTGAGCTCCATATCCATGTGTGTATATCTTTGCTTGCACTCAGTGAGTGAAACACCCATCTTGGCAAGAAGTTTGGCAAGACGCTTTTGCCCCGCGTCGCTCCAGATGTGTAGTTTGGCGGAGAGGTAGGGCGAGTGGAGCATACTTTCGTAGAGAGACCAGTGCCGAAGGAGAAGGAAACGCGGCTCGGGAGAGAGGCGGATGGACTTGTCTGTTGCTGAGAGAGCGCTCGTAGGAATCACACCCCACACTTCGCCCATTGTTGCATTGCGGGATACACTCGAGGCGTCTGTGACAGGGTTGAGTCGACGTACTTCATCTCGCAGGACAGAGCGTATGTTCTCTCCGCGGTTGCCGTTCCAGCCTGCTGAACCACCTTGTGCGGAGAGGGGGTTCAAGCCAACACCGCTTCCTGTCCGCCCGTATAGTTCCAGACTGCTGACACCAACGATGGCATTCCATAGCAGGTCGTTGTCTTCGCGGCCGAGTTCTGATGCTAGATTGTATACGAGGGAAGAGACGGGGTCTGAGTAGGAGGTACCGAGTCCGTAGTATTTGTCGAGTGTAGATGCGTACTTGTTCCGCTTCTTGATCAGCTGCCTTCGTAGGCTCTTCAACGACTTCTCTTTTGGCGCGGCTACTGATGGGGATGCGGAGCGGCTGCGGGAGTCTGAACGCGAAAAGTCGGAGGAGCCGCCTAGTTGTTGCGCTGCTAACAGGCCTCTTCGCCGTCTCGGTTCGGGTGACGATGGTATTGAGCCTCCCTGGGTAATGTTAGTGTGACTTTCGTTTGAACATTGAATATACATACCGAATTACTCCTCCGTCTTTGTGCTGGCCGCTCGTCATCTGTCATGTCGTCCTCGGAGTCGTCTTCCTCGCCCCACGACTTCCTTTTCTTCGGTGCTTGTCCAGATGGCGGCTCCTCATCATCCTGGTCGTCCGAGTCGTCGCTGATGTCGTCTTCCTCCCCCACCTCTGGCATCTCCTCAAGCCCAGCGTATGCTTCACGCTCTGCCTGTAGTTCTTCGTCGATGTCACCGTCGTCAAAGACTATAATTCCACCTCGTGACGACTGGTATGACTGCGTGATCTTGCCCTTGTCCACCCCCGCTTGTCTCCGCACGAACTCTCCCGTTGCGGGGTCCTGACTTATGGGGGCGGCAAAAACGTTCGTCAGATTCCACGGCCGTCTAGCGTCCAAGAGCCAGACCTCGACATCGCCAGTGCCACCCTCGCCATCCTCATCCACATCGAGGCCTAGTATCTCTTCCATGTCCACCATGCCTCCGACACCCAGACATATTACGACGCCTCCGCTTCCACCGTCTGTTGTCCGCATGGGCCGTACCAGCTCTTCTGCTGCTCGCGATAGGTCGCCATATCCGGCTATCGGTTGTATCTTGTGTTGTATGTAGTCGCGCTTCAATAACGCGGTAAGGATTCGGCAGGCACAAAGCGCGTCTGGTTCGAGGGCGACGAGGAGTAAAACGGGCGGTGCGGCGGCATGTGTGCGTTTTATGAGGTTCTGGTATAGGTGGGCTATCAGGTTTCGCGGGAGGTACATGGCGGCGGCGGTAGAGTGATTTGCCCTGCGTGCAGGTGTCGAGAAAACGCGCTGCGAGACGCGTCGGGAGGATTTGAGAGGGGCTGGTGGGGCGGCGTGAAGCTTATGGTATGCTCTGCATTTGCGGGGCGAAGAATAGAAGACGTGATTAAAATAGAGAGTATGGCAGAAGGGCAATTGGCATGCGTGGGTGCGGGTGCTTGCACAGCTCGTATGCGCGTGGTATCGAGGATGGCCGAGACGCGTTCGGCGCTAGCCGCGGAAATGGCTTCGCTCGGACGCGCCTCTGACGTGAACATTCACCCTCATCTCGATTCCGATCGCGTCTCATTTCCAATACAGATGAAGGCATGACCATCTGATCGCTGTCGATAGCGCGCACTTCCCGTTTAGTATTTCCCCATCTTCCCACTTCATACCTATTCCTCCCGTCTACTCACGTGGTCCACGTACACATGAAGAAGCGAACAAAATGCATTTGCTATGGACCTCGCGCAAACCGATAACATATACTGGGGAAGCATGTTGATCCTCTTCACTGCTGGCCAGTCCGATTATGGCGAGTCGACGCAGGAGTTCCAAGGCCACCTAGGAGTATCCTTCTTCCTCGCTTTTAGAAAGAAAATACCATAAACTCGATTCCGTCAAATTCGCAAACTCGACTCGTTCACCGTTAATCCCAGCCCCCGATTTCTAGGTACGCCCCCGGTATCTTCTTCAGTTTTAAGCTTTTCCATCCGCAAAGGGTGTTTGACGTTCAAGTCAGTTGCTGCCTCAGCACCACTCCCACTCAGGCTCTTGCTTCACTCCACGCTCTTGCTTGATGACAGGCTCTGCGTCAACAACCTCCTGGCGAGAATCATCGATATTTTGGCCTAGATCTTTCGGCTCCAAGTGCACAAGTGTAGGCACAATGTTGTAACATTGGTCGTAGTGCTCCCCATGGGCGTCGCCCCACTTGGTCAGGCCTGGGTTGATTATGAAAGCCACAACTCCTGCTTCCATGTCTTCGTCATCGTCGTCATTCACCGCCAGCATTTGTGACTCGTGGAAATCGGCTCCAATAGCTGGAAAGGTGACTTGAAACCGCGAGCGCTGCAGGAACATATGAAGGGCCAGAGAAAAGGCCTTGTCGATGATGAGCTGGACGTCTGAAATTTTGAATCCGGGGGCCAGTACCTCGAAATGACCGCAGAGAGTACTCGCTACAAGTTGGCGCTGCTCGATCACACTGGCTGTCAAGCCTGCAGATAAGACTTCTGACTCTCCGTGTGTGATGGTCTCGGCATTAGTTTGCTGGAGCAGCTGCTCTACTGTCTTGACACGCCATAACTCGCAGTGCGAAGAAGGACTCGGCCATTCAAAAAGATGTTCTTCTCCATAGATCTGAAGCCACGCCTCATTCAGAGCTGCGTAGTGATCTCCGAAGATAACAAAGGGATTGCAGAATACTAAGGAGATCAAGATCGACCAGATCCATGCTTCGGCCAACGGCTTTTTCCTTGCGCGTCCACTCCAGTGATGAGGCGCAACATCGCTCACTAAGAGAAGTGAGCCGACAGCCTCGCTGATGTTGATTTGTGTGTCGAAACGAATGGAGCGGCTGAACGTTTTGATAGTCGAGGCGAGCGAGCGGAACTCCTTCGCGAATTGGTCATCAGTTATAGCTTCGACTTTATCGACCTTGGCGAGCATGTCTTGCTGAAGCTCCCCAACTTGAGTTCGCAAGCGGCGAATCTCTGCCCACAACGTTCTGAATTGAGTGGCATGGCGCAGCATCGGATCTATAACCTGCTTGATCGAAGCATCGGTCACACCTTGGAAGTCAAACCTGCGGCTGGTCGCGTATGGCTTGATGAGACGTTCCAGAATGAAGTTGTAGTCCGCCTCGACGCTCTTGGAGCCCGTTTGCTGTTTATCATAATCTTCCTGCAGTTGGTTCTTGTCGCTCTGCAATTTGCGATTGGCAACCTCGAGCTGGGCTATCTTGTCGTTGCGCTCGGTGTTTATGATCCTCAGTCTTGCTATGGTTTGGTCGGCCTGCTGCTTGCGCCTCTGCGTGTCCAGCAGCTGCTGGTATGTGGACTGGCTTCGAGTGGTTCGGTGTTGATTGTTTCCGGTTGAGAATCTCGAATCGTTGCTGCGTCCTCCGCCCAGCTAGATTGCTCGTGTCAGTACTTGTTCTTACGTTGTGCATGGAAGTTGAGCGCTCACAAAGTTGTTCGCCCAGTATGCCATAGCTAAGAAGGTAAGCTTGCCACCAGTAACAGCGGAAAATCGATGAAGCGTCGTGTTATGTACTGGGATGATGGTGTTGTTTAGGTTAAGCCAAAGGTGAAGATCTGAGGCTGGCGTCTACTAATGCGCGCAAGTGGCAGTCGTACTCACCTTCACCTTGTCTTCGCAGCCGGATGCGGGATTTCCGCGTCTTGATCTGGCACGTGCGCAGCAGCTCGTCTCTCACCTCTACTCGAAGTTACCTATTGGATTTCTCGCAACTATTCATCTACTTCTCCTCTTCTCCAATCTTCATACCTGTACCTTTCCTCTCACTCGGCACAACCCCAACTACAATAACAGTCCGCCAATCGAAGTTACGACCAGATGAAGCCGAATCGTTTGATCGTAGGCCTTGATTATGGCACTACGTATACCGGTGGGTCCTCCTTCCTGAGTTCCTATCGTTAGCTGACAAATTAGGCGTCTCATTCTGCGAAACCTCTGACAACGGCACCGGTGATGAGCACGTCGAAGTCATCCATGATTGGCCATCTCAGCATACCAAGATCGGTACCAAAGAGAAGGTTCCCAGCGAAGTGACGTACCAGAAGCAAGGCTTGATCTGGGGCTCACTTATCCCTCCCAACGTCCAGCGACACATGTGGACAAAGCTTCAGCTAGACCCGACGCAGAAGGGCGAGATGGTTAAGATTGTTCGAGAGGTCTCAACGTCATCTTCCCAGGAACCGAACAAGCAGCCGGTTGAGATCATCGCCGACTTCCTCGCACAGGTGAAGGCCCATTTGATCAAGAATCTAGATCAAAAATACGGCAAGGTACTCTGGAGAAGCCTGGACATCACCTTGGTGGTCACTGTTCCAGCGGTCTGGACGGAAGTCGCCAAAGCTCGTACGCTCGAGGCTGTGGACAAGGCCGGCTTCAATGCGCCTGAGTTTCCGCAACTCAAGAAGATTGTTATGACGACCGAGCCTGAAGCGGCTGCTATATACACCATCAAGAGTATTCGAGGTATGTATGACGCATAAGTACTCCTGAAGCAATTCGCGTGTTGTTGCATCGACTATCTCAACACAGAAACCCTCTGAGGCCCTTCTGGACTTCCTTTCACACTTAGAAAGAGGCTTTATTGACTGATATATAGGTACTACCCAGGACGCGGATTTTGCCGTGGGTGACGGCTTCATTGTTTGTGACATGGGCGGCGGAACGGTCGACTTGTACGTTATTCCCGTACTCCACATGAGGATTCACTGCCTTTGAGATGTTGGCTAACTTCAATTACCATGATCCAGGATCTCCTACCGGGTTGCAGGAGTGGAGCCTACAGTTCTCGAGGAAGCCACCGTGGGTGGTGGTGACCAATGTGGAGGCAGCTTTGTTGATCGAGCCTTCTTGAAGTGGCTTGAGCGCCGCCTGGGCACAAAAGACTTCGTAGAAGTCGTCGGCTGTCGGAGTGAACATGTTCAACATACATCGCTCTCCAAAAAGGCAGCCAGGATGCTCCAGGACTTCACTCTTGAGGTGAAGAGTGGCTTTTCTGGTACAGAGACTTACCATCTACGCCTGCCGTCTCCTCTGAACGCCATTGAAGAAGACGAAGCGAGAGGTATAAGCGATGGCGAAATTACCATCACTCCGTAAGTCAAACCGGCACATATTCGTACAGGGACTGACCACAATCAGGGAGGATATGATCGAGATGTTTGAGATGCCCGTCCGTCGAACCTATGAACTCTTAGGCAATCAGTTGGATGAGCTGCGCAAGAACAAAAAGGTCAAACTCAAGGTCAGTCGTACATCCTAAGAATCCCATCCCTACAGGCAAGCCCATAGTTCTACCATCGACCGACAGCGATCCGTATCGAAATGTCTTCCGCTCTGACTCGATCTTCTGGATGGACTCGCTTGTTTGTATGATCTCTTGCTAACTTTTTATAAGTATGTGTTCATGGTTGGTGGTTTCTCCGAGAGCCCATATATGTTCGAGAAGATCAAGACGTTCGTCGCCAGGTGTGATGGTTTGCAAGCGGTCAAACCCGCCTATCCGTAGGTGATTCTTATCAAGCCTAACTAATAGCCCGCTGACATTCCGAATAGATGGTCTGCTGTTGCCCGGGGTGCAGCTGTGAAGGGCTTGGAGGGTGACAAGAAGGGCGCGATCAAGACACGCAAATGTCGCAGGCACTATGGTACCGACTACAACGCTCACTTCGACGCAAGCAAACACAAGGAATCCGACGCGTATATCGACAAATTCAGCGGTATAAAGAGAGCAAGTAACCAAATGGAATGGTTACTCACTCTAGGCCAAGATCTTCCGACATCCAAGGAGGCTCATGCAAAAGCGTCGTTCAACCTTAGCTTCTGGCCAGGTCAGAGACGAGCCTCCACTCTGGAGCTTTTCGCTTCGAATGCGCTAAAGGCTCCGCAACGTTCAGTCGACAAGGTAAGTCGCATTTCTATGACACATATCATAACTCACTAATATGACTACAGGGTCTGTATATCGTCACGAAATTGACTGTAGACCTCAGTGTAGTCCCCAAGAAGGAGTTTAAGGCTATGCGAAGCCCTGAGGGTAAGCTCTACCATAAGTTGAGCTTCGAGGTCGCGATCTCTGCACAGTCATCTCTGGAATACTCTCTCTTGGTCAACGGCAAGACTTACGGCTCGGTGACTGCGAAGTATGATTGAGCGGCCGTATTACACGCTACTCCAGCACTATGTCATGTAGATGCATAGGGTGGTGAAATTGCAGAGGTTGAGCTGGTATCTGAGAGAATGGAGGCAAAACGACGGAAGATGGAGACAGATGGTATCTGTGGAATCCTAGAGAGAGAAGGTTGAGTAAAAGCGTGGCTTTGGAAGATTGGCTAGTATCGGCAGTGGATTTGACATCTTGCATGCATCGGTCTTTGAACTTCTGTGTCAGCTGAACACATCGAATTAAGCACTCACCTCAAACTCAAATGCACCCTGAACTCCCTCCTCCCCTCCCACCGTGCCACCACATCCTACCCACCACGCCACAACCACCCCATCATCCCCTCCAACCACGCCTCCCTCAGCAAACCCCCTTTCGACCCCTCAACAATCATCAAACCCCCACCAATCACCACCTGCCCCTCTGCCAAGCCCCCAAACTCTCTCGGCCCAACCGTCCCTTAGCACCACGCACTAAATCACGTTACCACCATCTCATGCGCGTCATCTCACCAACCATGCCCTTTCCAGCCATACAGCCGACGCGAAAAGTGGGGCCCAACGATCCCCAAGGCAATGAGTGTGAAACGGCGATCGTGGGAAGGGTTTAGGGTGCTGTGTGGCGTTTGAGCTTGACGGGCGGCGCGGTGGCTTGGGTTAAACGCGAAGACGCGCGAGTGTACGCGAAGCACGCGATGGGGGAAGCGAGGCGAGGGGCTGGGTGGCTTGGGTTGGGTCCGGCAGTGAAGGGAGGGGGGTTGTGGTGCGAGTATGGGCTGGAGCGAACCGAACCATTACCAGTTTTTCCTTGCTGGGGCAAGCAGATGGGGTTGTGGTGGGAGTAGTGTAACGTGTTTGCATTGATGGGAGTGTCTGGTTGAGAGACGGGATGGACTGCGGCTCAAGGGAAATGTCTTCCACGGTCTTGATGACCTGTTCGTTGGACTGATGGACCTCTTCCGTACCAGAAGAGCCTGCGACACGTTCATCCTGTCACTCAACCGTCCCCAAACCTTCTCCATCCTCACTGCACGATCGGAATGCAGCCCAACACGGCAACCACGAACCCAGCTAGCACAAGATCTCGTCTTCGTATCGCCGCAAGAGCATGGCCTGTGTCAAGTTAGGCACAAAATTTGCCCGCACAAGAATCTCGTACCATTTTTCGTCAGCTGTGACGGGAAACCCCGGTGTGAGCCTACTGCACGGCATCGCCCGATGTCACCAGGCAGGTTTTCGCGGCTGTCGATCACTAGTTCAAGCGCGAGTCTGAGACTGGAAGTGCGCAATGCGATCTACGCTACACATTCGCTTTCGCATGTGACGGTGGTAACGAGCCGAGTGGCCGTCTTTGCCTTCCAAATCTTTCAGGGCTTGCGCGCGCTGGTAGTGGGTGTTGCGGCTGCAGGTACGGCAGGTTGTGGTTTGCAGACGCAGGAGGCTCAAGAATCGGCGGTGGGCCGTAAGCGGTCGGGTGAGAGGTGATCGCTGGGCGAAAGCCGCTCACGTTGGATGTGTATGACTGAGCTGTGAGGGCAGGGGAGGCACGAGGGTCAGTGTGTAATTTTGAATTGTTTGTATTTTGAGTTCGGTGGGCGGTGTGTTTTTTTGATCCCAAGGAGGGTAGGGTTACTACTCTCTCCGTTGACAGTGTGATACCTAGTACCGTAGCGATGTATAAGAAAGTGACAAAAAGAAAGACGACATCATGTTGTCGTGATTAATGACTCCGTACCCAAATGCATAATGCCCTCGTCATAACACCATGCTGATAAAGAAAAGCGTGGGGACGACGACGTCCGAAAACCACGCGCAAACCGAGCGTGTAGAAAGGGTTGAGACAGCTAAGTCAACTACCCATCGAAAACTGAATGAACGAGACGGACGCGTGATGCGATGCCTTCTCCAGCGTGTGCGTATTATGTGAACTCGACCTAGTCACCATATCTTCATCCAGGGGAGTTCTTCCTCCGCCTCGTCCTCGCATGACTGAATCATGATATCGGGGCAAAACTCGAGCAAGCCGGTCACCGAATCTCGATATGGAGGAAGTCGATCGCGGTCTTCCTAGACCTTATAATCCGTCTCCTGTTGGATCTTCTGATCCCATGGATCAACATTTGGTTGATCGACGAAGGAGGTTACCATGTTATAGTTCATGGGGTTGTTGTACACCTGGTGACCTGGGTGACCTGGATGACCTGGATGACCTGGGTGGAATGGCATCCGTGGTGGTTGTGCGAGAGTGGAGGAAGCGTAGAGATTCATGCCATGTTGTGGGTACGATGGCAGAGATGGGGGGTCACTGCCCAAGTTGGTAGGCAGGATATAGCCAGAGTCTTCTCTCCTCCTCTTGGATGGCTGCTCGTAGTCGTAGGCGGGATGGTCGATGGGTGCCTGTGTGGTCGGTTCGGGGTTTATGGGAAGGATGTATTCTTCCCTTCTTCTCTTGGAAGACTGAAACTCGTAGCTGGGCGCGATCTGTGTCTGGGAGGCAGGCTCTGCGTCTGCCTGGAACGAACGCTTGTTGTTCATCATCCCTCTAGCTTCTTTGCGCAACCTGAGTCGAACGCCCTGGTCGGAGAACGCTCGCGAGAGATACGTCGACTCTTCGAGACCCTTGAAGTCTTTGGGAAGTACGACGTCGAACTTATCACTCAGTGCAGAGCCGAGGTTCTGGATCTCCCCACGTGAAGGGTGGAACTCGTACATGGAGAAACACAGTCTGAAGCTGCCCTGAATCCGGATAGAAATATCGCCGAAGACGAAGAAACCGCCGTCCTTGTTATCGACATCCTTAAGACGATGCAGGGACGACACCAGTGTGCCGGCCATGGATTCATTGGGAGTGTGCTCGACAGGCTCATCTCTGTCCGCTTTGTAGAGGGATGCACTGAGGAAGATGTAGGGGTTTTGTAAGAAGCTGTTCGAGGCATCAACGCGATCCCGAAGGTGGAGCTGGAGAATGGGTGGAGGATCCACAGGCTTCCGGAACTTTTCCTTGCTCTTGACCGCGACCAGTGCCTCTTTAGGCTGTTGGCGGACGGACAGGTAACAGTTGTTCGGGCTCAAAGGCTCGGGGCCTTGACTTGCGACTGGTAGTGCGACAGGTATTTGCGGTTGATAGTAGTTCTGGTTATACTGCGGCGGCATCGGGTGGTGTGGATACATGGTTGGGATGTTCATGTTCATGGTCTGGCCCTCTGTAGTAGAGTTCGGCGGTCGTAATCGTGTTGTAAGGAACCCAAGGACCAAGTCTCAGAGACGCCCGAGAATATGTTGGTGAGATGGAGTCGTCCGGTCGAAAAATACTGAGAACATAAGAGAATTTGGATGTACGGCTAGCGGCCTTTGAGAGAAATACGCGAAAGGTGACCAATCGAACAAAGGCTTGAGTCACTACGGAGTGCAGTGCCGTCCGAAGGTGCTGCGTGACCAGTGATTGTAGTGGTAATGAGCGATGAAAATGCGAGTGGATCACCGTTCCATGGGTGGAGGACCCTTTTCGGAGAAAGTGCCGTCGAAGCGCGGCTGCCTGCTCTCAGAGTCACAGTCCAGTCACAGTCGATAATAATGCGTGTCCTCGTATGGTATGCGCTGCCTTTCTCAAAATTGGAGGCACCTCTGGAAAGCGTCGATATCAGAATGGCGCGCGCGGGAGTGGATCTGGCGCTCGCCTTTCAACGGGACCGAACTAAAGGCCCGCCTGCGGAGAGAAGGTTGACTCCACCCTTGACCGTGACTTCCAACAGAAATAGGCGCAGATATAAGCAACAACGAAAAATGGTACTGCGCCTGCGTCGCTCAGCACCTGCAGTGTGGAACCTGTAGAACACTGTAGTTTCCGCACTGTCTCCGCAAGGCATAGCACCAGCTTGATTTCGAAGAGGATTTTGCGATTGAGTTGAGGTTACGCAGGTCTGGTACCGAACCGTGGTCGAGAGTGCCTTGGTGTGCTCCAAATATTACAACAAAGAGGGCCGTTTCCAACGGCTTCGAGGGTATTAGTGTCGTGCTGGTCGACCAGTCAAGCAGCGATGACGTGTCGGGGGGTAAGTCCAGGGTAATCTGGTAATATTATGGAATTAGAAGTGAAGGTCAGAGGAAGAGCGTCGAGGGCGACGACGTCGCAGTGCTCATGAAGGAAGACGCACAAGAGTAAGACACAAGATAGAAGAGCTGGCAAGGGTACCTCAAGGTAGTCGTCTCAATCGGGGCTCCTCTACACTCGTCCTTCCGTGGCGGCTTCGACGGCGATTCGTCGCTTCCCGTCTAGTCTCGAGTGCAACTGGTGCCGAGCGCGGCCGATCAGTGCTGTAGGGTCTCTCCGAGCTAGCGTGCTAAGAGATGAACGAGCGGCGGCGTGAATCATGCGAACAAGCTCTAGTGCAGCCAATCGAACGTCGCCTGGGCTTCTTTCTTCTTTTGTAGGCACGGTCGCTTTGGAAGCTAAGGTTTCTCGCTTGTTGACACAGGCCTGGTTGATTTTGCTCTTGCACCTCGTCGACTCCGAGAGGGCTGCAGTGTGGTTGATGCGTTCTGCAGATGACGTCGAGGGTACAATCGAAAACGACAGGACGGTATGCACTCAGCGAAATACCGGGTTCGCGATGGAGATGGGACCTTGTCCAGCCCGCTGGTGCATGTGTCAGCGTGCAAGGACGGCACGGCGGGACGAGGTACAAGAAGACAGGCTGGTCGCAGATGCTGTGCCGTAGTGCAGCGACTGTTCTATATGCTCAACAGCACTTTCGAATGAAGCCGAAGAGAGCCCAAGGGTCGTTTGGCGCTAGAATGCAGCAATAGCCCGTCCGCACTATGCTGCCAGAGCGAGGGTAACCCATGCAGCCGGATGGCAGAGCCTGGCTGCACAGACTGCGCGGCAGTAGAGCAAGGATAGCGAGACGGCTTGGATTCAACGGCAATCCCAGGTTTGGGGTTGGTAGGGCACTGTCCAAGGGCATCGAACGGGGGACCCGGTTGCATGCAACGGAAGAGCCCCATGTCTGTAGACACTCACAGAGACGCTCGGTATTTAGCCACTGCAACTACTCTACTTGAGAGGTCGTATATAATAATCCATTGGCGCCCAATATCTCAGCATCACGCCGTTCGACAGCCTGTTTGCTACGGTTCCTCTGATCCGTAGCCAGAGGCACAGAGCGCTCGAGTTAGCTGATGAACGGACCCCAACATATCCGTCGGGACCACTCGCAGGCGAGTGCAGTGGTACTGAACACGTCCACACACATGGCGGCTGTCACACGCTTTCCGACGGCGCACGATGGCGGCTCCGGGACGTGCCTCAGGACTCGAAGGCTAAACTGACAGGACAGTCAAGGCTAGGATACCCACAACATAGTCGCGTATCACTGCAGCAGACGGCACGCACGCTGCGATAGAGTGCCCGGTACGCTCTCTGTCGTCAATCGGACCTGGAACGGGCGTCGAACCGTGCAGGAAACATCCCCATTGGGCACTGCAGACCGATGGGGCAATGACGCATTGTGCATTCAGTTCGTCGGGCTGAGGGCGGGTGATGTCGTCTGGAGGCTATGAAGATGCATGTGGGGAGAATGATCGCCGTCAAATCGCGCGGTGGCTGGGAGGATTTCTGCAGGGATGTGGTTCGATTCCAAGCGAAGACCGCCGAATGCTCCGTTCTCCTCATGAAAGAAATTCTACGATGTTACACCGTCATCCGCACCCCCGTCCAACACCCCTTTAGCCACAAACTGCCAGCGAGTGAGAGGCCGGCGCACTTCCTGCGATGCCTCATCTGGCCAGCAGTCTACCTCTGACAACAGCGCTATAGCCAGCCATGTCCTTAGCGAAGTCTTGCCGGGTCACCATCACCAGGTAACACTCGCTGTCGTCAAAGCACGATGATCTGAGTGCTAGCTGCTTGCTTGTTGCGCCTCTACGACAGATCGTCTCGTTGTCTCGGCAGCTTTCCCTCGTGCACCACGTCTTCTCTCCGTCCTCCGACATGCCGCTGTTCCTGCAGGATACGAGAGCCTCCCGCTATTGGCCCTTCGCATATGTTGCAAATATTGTCCCAACATCGACCTTGTATGCGCTTAATTTACTTTTCGCTTACTACGGCGGAGGCTCGGGCTGTTCATCGTTGTCGAGAGATTATCAGCTGCCGTCACGGGCTGCCATGAGGTTCATTGTCACTCAATATTGCAATACTAGTCAGGCGTGCACTCTGGCATATCGCAAATCTGCCTGCACAGTCCAAAGAAAAGGGTTGCCCTTCGACTCTGGTATCTGGCCTCCATCCAAGCGTCTTAATCTGGATATTTGCCTTGTGCAAGCTCGGAAACCTTTCCAGTGCCTCGCGGTTGTGGGCCCCTCATGTGGATGTGGGGTGGTGACATGGCCTCTATCGCAAAGACCTCGTGGACATTCTCCCTGCATCCTGTTGGATTTAAGATCTCTACTGCACAAACACGGTTGATATCTTGGGACAAATCGCGACTAGGCTTCTGGTTCCGTTGAGCCGTGTGCAGTGGATGCAATGAGCCTTAGGCGCCATAGCCACGTTTGCAACTGCCGCAGAAAGGCAATCATCGAAAGAATGAACACATATGGTTCACAAACAATGCACTAACGACCATAGTACATTCTCGTGACAAAGATCGGACGGCTCGCTGCAACTACACCACCGTGCGTCTGAGCTAAGCTGTGGCTGTCAGTAACAGCAGCCTTGATCTGTAAGATCAGCTGGTGATTTAACATGAGCATGCATCGAGGCGGTCTGTAGATATGCATCCAGGCATACTTTTTCTAACTTTGAAGCTTGTCAAACAATTCTCTGGGTGTGCATTCCAGATTATCAACGGCACACTCCGTAGACATGACGGTTGCGTACACCTCAGACGGGTTGATCGAGGTTCACAGCAGTACCTATGGGATCCTTATCAGTCCCCCAATAGGGTCAGATGGCGCTGCCTCTCTGCCGCCGCAACTAACAACTACTTACATGCAGCTTCGACACCAACTCCCGTCCGGCGGCCCCGAAAGCCATCATCCATCCGAGCAGGATACTGTCGCATGATAGTCACTACACCGGTCTTGGGTTACACGGCACTTGACTGACAGAGTGTAGCACCGCTGCACATCGCCTGCCCTAGCTACTCGAGTCCACTGCCCCTCGAATGCGAATGCGGCCAGGTCCAGATCCACAACACTTCCAACCCCGTTATTGTTGCTGTACATATTGGTCACAGCTCTTCCCGACCGCCCCCACCTTGCACAACGAGTACTCCACACGAACCACTCGACATAAATCGCTTTGAGTAGAAACGCAAGCTTATGACCGTCGAGCAGCTTCGCCGACTACCAGATCAATCCGCAAATCACTGCATCCTTCACACTTGTCTCTCATGATGCATTGCAACCAAGAGTTGATACATCGCAACTGGATTCGACGATGAGCGTACACTGAACTGTCAGCAGGAATGTGGCCAGATGTGAGCCAAGAAGGTATGATGTATGTACGCAGCAGGTCACTGGTTGCGCAGAACGACATGATCCCTGGACAAAGGGATGCTGCATAGCCGGCGTCGAGCGAGTCCGCGGCTTCCTGGTCGCCATTGGCTGCAAGAGCTGTGGCAGAACTACGAAGACTTGCGTTGGTCTAGCCGAGTGGCCGGTGCAATGCAGCTGATGCCAAAGCTGATGCGTTTGCATTGATAGAAGAAGCAGATCAACAAGCATCATCTCTTGCCCAGTTGAGACAAGAAGCATACCACCGCACTGACAGAAACATGCCCCAGCACTCGAAGCCTTTACAGCCCGCCAAAAACGAGTTGAACGCTCTTGAAGGATTCTAACGCTGCGTTCCCCACGATAGCGCATGAGGATATGGCTGTTGATTGGCTTAACTACGTACGGTTCCCACAGCTCTACCATGGTACAGATTCTCAGCGGCGTGAACCGGCCGCACACTCTTAATTCGCCGTACGGCTGCCGACAGCATGCTTGCTTTTACGTCAAGGTGATTCCCCGCTAGGACTGGTTGCACGTGCGGCGGGGCAGATGCTTCCTTCCTTGTTCAGTGTCGGAGATCAGGGTCCAAACATGCCTGATCATTGAGGCAAGAGCCTCCAGCAAGCCTCGTTCCTACACTACCTTTTCAAGTCTTA